CCGCTATTAAAAATTAATGATTACTAATCATTAGCGAAGCTTATTTCTTATATTGCCCACCTATTCTATAGAATATCCATCTGGTGTCTCCAGGTAAATGCTATCTTGAACTTTTTTTTTAAATTTTTTTAAAAAAAAATTATTCATACAGTATTTATAGCGAGATTAATAAAATTTTTTGGGCGATCTTGGAACAAAATTTATTAATACAAACACAGATAACGGTTAATAAAGTTCCTAGCCCTAGAATTTTACTGTACGTTTATTCATTATAAGGCCATTTTATCTCAATAATAAGGCAGGACAATATATTACACGACATAATCATTTTCAAATATGGTATAAAACTATTTTCCTCTCTTGATTTTGTGCGACAGCTACGTACCTTAATCGTCAATTTGTTTATTCACAAAAATCATTCGACAAAAGTTTCATCATTGTCAATTGCATAAGCCAATCAGATTACTTTAAAACGGACAAATACTATTCCTTAATAGGAATTTTTAGATATATCTTATTTGATGTCATATTCAATTGAGTTTAAAGACTTTAATCATTCTTAATAAACATACTGTTATTTCTTAATTTTGATTTAACAATATCGATATATAGATTTAAATATGAATATTTCTGCGGCAAAGCTACGGGTTTGTTATATTTTGTGTGACTGCCACTTATAATTTAAGTCATGATAGATTTCAATTTCCTTCTCTATACCACCATGCTTTTCGTTGATTCATCTGTTACCTCATCTCTGTGAAATTTTCACTACAAAAATACAACTTTCTTTAATCCGTCGTTTATTAGGTAATTTATTAATGAAAGGTCTATTAGCCAAACGTCTCACTAATACAAAATAATACAAATATTAACAACAAATAATCCAAGAAACACAAGACACGCATCTCTAGGAATATACCCCTTTTAAAAAATTACATACATAAAGCAATTCATACAAAAATATACAAAAATTTTGGCCATGCCCTTAAATCAAAAGGTATACTCGAGGGACATCTTAGTATCCCTTATATCATGAGGGTATTGTATCATGAGGTGTAACTTATCGTAATTTGATAAATTTGTAATTCATATATATAATAAGCTTTTCACTATAAATTTTTTGTCAAATTTTATAAATTTTTTATAAATACTTCAACTTTAATTTATCGAATAATTCTTAAGGTGGAAATCTTTAAGTGATAAAAAAATGGCTCAAGCAATGCAATTCACTGCAATTAACATGGACACTTCTGTTCCTCCACCTCACATTCCACCTCAAATGCAAGAAACACCTCAAGAAAAGCATAATATCCAGGCTAGTCCTCAGATGAATGCCACTCTTCAGGCCGCTCCTCAGGCTAGTCCTCAGACAAATCTTCAAGATACCTCTCAGACTAACGCTCCTTCTCAGATTAACGCTCCTGTCAGTGTTAACGTAAATCCTAATATTACTGTAAACGCTCCTGCTGCTCCTCCTCCTACAAATGTTATTGTAAATATGCAACAAACCGCTGCTCCTCCTCCTCCTCCTCCTGCTCCTGTTGTTATTAATAATAGTAATCATCTTCATTCTGGGCCTGGAATTTTAGTTGAAGAAAAAAAAAGTCTTTTATGTTCAAAACCTGTGCTTTCTTTGATTTGCGTAGCTATCGTCATCATTATTATTATATCTTCTGCGACTTCAGCGAAACGTTAATATCAAACATTCTATTCAAATATTATATTCAAAACTTCAAATATTCTATGCTGGTAAATCTTACATGTAATAATAATAATAATAATTCATATAAGCACTATATAAATACATAAATTTCATGTCTTAATTAATTCTACTATTCTTGAGAATTGAGATTTTGGATTTTAATCATTTCTTATATACTGTATTCATGTTAATTTCTTTCGGTATTTGTTGTCTCATTTTGCGTTAAATCTCTTTAACATGATAGAAGTCGTTTTTTATTCATTCAAGGAGATTACAAAGATAAAATGAAATAATAAAGTATACAATTATAATAAAACAAAATGAAAAAAATGCTATACTTAAAATTACTAATTGTAATAACTATTGAATCCCAAACGAAACGAAACCACGTTAATGGATACAGTATTTAAAATTTTAATAACTTCAAGTTTTCATATATATATATTTATTTAAAAGCGGTCAAAATTCTAAGAATACTCATGCCATCAAACTCTACCTATTTCATTTATAGAAACACCATTTAAAACTATTATCAAGTGATAACAATATTTTTATTCGATTCCAAATGCTTTTTAGCAAAGCTATGGCCTAAATTTTAATTTAAAATATGCCTTTAGATTTACTAATAAATATAGCCTATTCGTGAATTTGTATATTTTAAAGTGACAGAATTTTATTTTCCAACAAAATTTGTGTATCAGTGGTCAGCATGTTGTGGAAACAAAAATTCAATTGGATTAAAATTTTAGGGTAGATATAACCTGCTCCCTAACCCTAAAATTCTAAGAAATTACCCTAAAATCCTAAAAACTTCGAATCCTATTCTCACAACATATATTGTTTTTACGAAGGAAATTTTATATAAAATTCGGTAAAGTATATTCAAGGTACATTTAAGGCACACTAGTACAATTTAAAAAAAATTCCGGCCCTAAATCCCAACCATTATCATAAAAAAAAAAAAAAAAAAAAACAGAACCACAAAGGTTTCAAAACAAGTACAAAATTCCACACCAGTTAACTACCGTAAATTAATGTACAAAGCTATCACTATATGCAATTCAATACTTGTGAGAAACTAAAAGCAAAGTGAAAGCACAAAAGATTCTTGAAACAAATACGAAATACCAGTTAACTTCCATAAATTAATCCACAAGACTATCGCTTGACTATCGTTATATGCAATTCAATATTTGTGCGAAACTAAAAGCAAAGTAACTCAAAACAAACGGACAAGAAAATGAAATATTTCTATATATGGAATCTTATATGGTAGATAGTTAAAGCATCACTCATATAAATAAATCGTTGGTATGCTAACATTACCAACTTATTAAACAAATCTTCAATACATTCGTGCACAAATTGCCTAACTTTTACTTTCCTTTTTCTCTTCTCGTGCACAAATTATCTAACTCCTACATTCATTACATTCCCTTTCCTTTTCTATAATGGCAGACGCGACTTTTCCTCCTCCTGATCCAAGTGCAAATCCGGCTGAAGCAACTCTCAAAGTCAAAGGCACGAAAAAAGGTGTAAAATCTTCTGATCCTTCAATTAACCGTGATGCTAAATCTCTACGCCAATTCTTTGATGCTTACAATAGTCCTCCTAATTTGCAAATGCACATAAAAGGTAAAAAAAATTCGTTCAATATTTTCATGATTTCTTTTCATACATCAATTACATTCTTAATCATTCTCTCATCTCTTTCATCTCTCTCATCTCTCTCATCTCACTCATCTCACTCATCTTCTCATCTCTCTCTCAGGATGGCATCAAGAAAAAACCCAAGAAAAGTCTGGTAAAGACGGCCACAAGAATATCTATACAATTGTTACAGATTTTGAAGTTACTCTTGACCTTAATGGATATATTGTCCCTACCCCCCAAGTAGTTGCTGAACCAAGCTATGATGAGTACTTGGAAGCTTATATACGTGATGAAAATAAATGCAAGGAAATCACTCTTAAAAAGGTAAATATAGCATAAAAAGTTTTTTCAAAAACCATCTACTTAATTATCTACTTAATTATCTACTTAATTATCTGCTTAATTATCAATGTCTAATGAAACTTTTTTTGTCAATTAAAAAAGACTGTTGTATGGGACTATGACGCACTTTACAGTTTAATTTTAGATTTGGCACGTCGTCGTGGATTTCGATATAACGTAAATGTTACATATCCTCTAAAAAATTACGTTATAAAAGTCATGACAGATAACTCTTTTGGCAAGAATGTGCGAACCTATGGATTTATTGCAGCACCAATTTCTTGGTTTTATAAAAAGAAATTCAATAAAATACAAAGTCAATTTCAAATGAATCTTACATCTACAGAATGGTTTGCACAGAATTCAACTCTAATAGAACAATACGTCAATGTTGATAAGCAGGGTGGTCGCGTTGTTGGTTGATGAGATTGAATTTTTTATGAAATTACCCCTTTTTTTTTATTGACATTAATATCATCAAATCTTTCATACTTTGTAATTGCAAATTATTCGAATATGTATCTATTAATTAGACTTATATTCATCATCTGCCATTTTTTTCATTTTATTCATATATTTAATCATATCAGTGATGTCAATTCTGGAATTGATATTCTTTTTTTTTTTTACATAGATATAAACTATATATATATGTATTAATTATCTAGGTGAATAAAAATTATGGGTAGTTATTTGTCGTATATTATATGTGATAGTGGTTTATATATCACCAAATCAATTAGAAATCAATCAGATTTCGAGATAAGTTGTAGTGTAGTACAATCCGGAATTTTTTTAAAAAAACCCGTTCGGTTTACAAAAAGAATCACTTATAACTCAACAATTTGCATAGGAAATCATCTTTAGTACTCTAACAAAAAGTGTTCTTTGGGTGACTTTACTATTAAGTTTGCCATCACCTAGCTCTAATATAAATGTTAACCTAACCTTAACGAACTGAAATGCAAGTACTTTTTTTTAAAAAAAAAAATGCTCATGCAGGCGGTTTCAACTAATATTTATATCAGGTGTTTCAAAAGTCACTACACAAGTTCCTAAAAATTTGTCACTTGTTACTATCTCCACAAAATGTTTAGGAATCGTGTATAGTGGCTTTCCCAGTATATAGCAGGTAATGTAATAATAGCATTACTGATTAATTGCTAACTTATAAAGTTTTTGTTTAATGCAATATTCAAACATTAAGGAAATATTTTTAAAGAATTTAAATTTCTTTTTTTTAATGAAATAAAATCCAATAAATAACTACTAGTATTAAATAGAAAATATAAAAGTATTTGAATATAAAATTGATTAGTCTTAGTTTTTTTTTTGACAATAACTCTTTGTCTCGCTTCGCTCTGCCTCGTTTTAAATTCAGTTCTACACTATTATACCAGTACGTGTAATATATATAAAATGTGAGAGGAATGTCGCTTATACTGAAAAATCCTTTTTTAGTGAAACAATAAATAGGTAGTAGACGAATTTGCGGGCCAAATTATGTTCAAAAAGTTGGATCCAAAAAGAGATTTGAAAATTAGATAGTTGAGCATCGTGTATTTAGTTCTTAGTATTCAACTTATGTTCATATTTATATTTGCTATATTTTTTATAATATAAAGCTATTAAAGTTTGAATGTTGACAAATAAAAGTTTATTGTTAAGCTTTGAAAAATTATAAATCGTGAGATCGATTCTGGAACCGAAATACGGACCGATGTTGTTACCTGGGAGAAAATTCTTTTACTCGACGCCGATTTCAGCGCATGGCCACAAGCATAAACGTGGGATATTGTCTTTTAGAGAATGGTCGTATGTGGCACGTATTTATTTTATTTATTTATATCGAAGCCGAAAGAGAGAGTGGTGCTTACAGTGGACAAGCTCAATTCACCAACAATCAATTCACTGATAATCATTCTCCAAAGGTGGGTTAGTCATGGCAGAAAAATGTCGCGGTGACGTGATCGGCGACCACTTCCAACCCTGATAATACAAATTACGTATTACATTGAAATTATCGTTACAATATTAGTCTTTCATACGTAGACTAATAATCATTTTGACATAATACGTAATTTGTATTATCAGGGTCGGAGTGGTCGCCGATCACGTCACCGCGACATTTTTCTGCCATGACTAACCCACCTATTCACCAACACTCAATTCGCTGACAAAGTAATTATACTGGAATTAAGTTTAAGGTTAGTGAATTAAGCTTGTTAATGGATTGATTTAGTGTTAGTGAATTGAGCTGCCGGTGAATTACAATTGTACTCAAATTCTGGAACACCTAAAAATTTTCTCATTTTCTGAAACCTCTTCGATCTCATTTTAAGAATCATCTATCTCTGTATCGAAGTTTCAAGAACATTCCAAGAAATTAGGCAATTCTTAAAATGAGATCGAAGAGATTTCAGGAAATGAGAAAATTTTTAGATGCCCAGAATTTATAAAAACAGTTGTAAGTGTTGGTAAAATGAACATGTCAGTGAATTACAGCTGTTTTCATAAACTCTGGGACACCTAAAAATTTTCTCATTTCCTGAAACCTCTTCGATCTTGTTCTAAGAAACATCTAACTTTTCAGAAACTATTTTGCTGTCTCTGAATCAAAGTTTCAAGGACAACGAAATAGCCTCTGAAAAGTTGAAAAATTTTTAGATGTCCCAATATTTACGAAAACAGCTGTAATTGTCAGTGTTGTGTCGTGTCTGCGAAATAAGTGTCGGTGAAATTATCATTAGGGTCTGGTAAAATTAAAATTAATGTTAGTACTTTTTTAAGGTGAGTTAGGGTTGTATTACAAAATTACAATTTTACATTTCATGTAATTTTGCGTAAATTTCAGTAACTTGAATTTCATGCAAATTTTCACACGCACTGGCACTATGAAAAACTCAGCTAGCATTATTGAACTACAGTAGATTCTGCATAAAGTTCACTGACCAAATAAATCGATGTACATATGATCCAACCAATCATATGAGCATATGATCACGTTTCTTACAGAAAACTACGGGCACAACATTTCACGTGACTTATAGACACAACATCGGCCTGAGTTAGGGGTTAAGAGTTAACATTAAGGTAAGAGTATTTTAGTAATGCCGGTCATTGTTGTGCCCATAAGCACATAAGCACATGAAATGTTGTGCCCGTAGCAATCTCCAAATCCGCTACGTAGATCACGTTAGGGTGAAATCCGCGCTTAGCTACGTTTTTTATTATGCAAAAGCGAATTTCACCCTCATGTGATCTACGTAGCGGATTTTACTAATTCACTGCGCGGGTTTCACCCTGTCGTATCATAACAATTTCATCATGTGAACAAACAACGGAAAATTATCCTATTAACAATTATCCAAAAATCAAAGAAATTCCAAATCCACTTAAATTCCGTCCCCCTTGCAACATATATTATTGAGATATTTTCGCTTAAGGTTTGTAAAGATTTAAGTGAATAAACTAAACCTTTTGTCTAGTTATAAAATACTAATGAATGTTACACTATCGTAAAAAATTAGAATTTTATTTTAAGTATCAATTCGTAAAATCAATAGTAAATTTAAAGAAGTTTTGCAGATTTTTGCGTGATGTGTGGTCACAGCAATTTGAAAAGTATAATAATTCGTATATTGTATTGCAATTTATTGTAATTTGGATTCTTACAATTTCAAAAAGTGTGTTTTAAAAAAAAATAAAAATAAAATAAAATAAAAAATAATTTAAACAAATAAATAAAATAAATAAAATAAAATAAGGAAGAGAATGGGGAAAACAAAATTCCTATACTGTTCAATGTAATTTCAGGGGTGCTTTTATCTTTTTTTTTTTTATATAGTAAAAAAGCAATCTGGCATTGTTCAATTTTAATTTATTTTGATTCAAAATAAGTCTAAGGTTCCCATCGCTATTTAGCTATACCAATAATCAGTTCCTGTGTATTACTATGTGCAGGATCAGGAAAGCGGGAATAAAGAAAATTTTTGAAAATTTTATTTATAGGCAAGAAATTTAGTTTATTTGCAAAAAAAAAATTAGAAAGTTTTGAAGATTTTAGTGTGAAAAGCGCGATGATTTAGAAAAAAAATTCTTTGCATTTTTAGAATTTTTTATATTTACCTGTTACATTAAAATTTACATTCTCAGATTCCCAGATTCCCGCGTGTGTGAACATGAAATTTGATTACAGTAATTTGAAAAGCACGATAAATCGACTTTGGTGCACTAATTAAAAATGCCGGGAACGAAATTTTACACATAACGAGCATAATTTATTACCATAGATTCTAAAGTTAACGTCCTAACCCTAAATTATATCTTTACATACTTAGTTTCTACGTAGCGAATTTATACGTACGTATCTTTACGAACGTACGTATCTTTACGAACGTACGTACGTACGTACGGTGCAGGAAATTTAAAAACCTCAATCTCCATGTTAAGATGATGCATAAACTAGTAGGTCATTGAAAATAAATTTCTTAAATCATTCAATCTCAATATAGTGATGGGCATAGAAATAATACGCCAAGAATATTATGTACTTAATAGGAGTTGATTTATGCATACGGTTGAAACTTAAAATAAGCCGCTACTGAATTTAGCTTATCTCCAATGCTGATCTATATAAAGTGATTGAGGTTTTTGGATTTCCAGCACCATACGTACGTACGTACGTACGTACTTAGTTGATTCAAAAAATTCGATTTACTTTTTTGGTAAAATCTAGCGGCAAAAAAAATTACCGGTTATGCAAACGAAAATATAGTAATGGATAATTTACGTAATCAACTTCGTCATTTAAATTAATGGTGACGAAATTAGCACGGATAAATTTTTGTAAACCAAAATTACTTACATGACAAATGATGACAGGTTGCTTACAATATTACTTTTCTTGTAATGTTATTATTCTGGTCTAACGATGATATTAAATTTTCTGTTAATGTTACTGATGGTCACTGCAAATTATTAAATTGTACGTTCGT